TCGGAAGGCACCGACATCCAATGACAACCCTACCAATCAAGGAAGGTTTTTTTTTTCTCCTTGCAATCCCTGAGGGGCCCAGAGCAGCATCTACAAGGATGGGGATTACAGAAATGAGAGAAGCTAAACTTGTTGTCCTCCCACCCCCAACCTCACAGAAGTTTTCCAGGCCTGAAGCAGGTAGTATTTTAGAGGTGGACAAGTGAGCTTTCGCTTTTCAATATTACAATGTTCTGGATTTATACGAACTGAAAATGATCAGAAAAGCTTTGGAATCTGCCAACATTTCTTCTAGGGGCAAGAAGGAGCTAGTGGAAAGAAGACATCTGAAATGAGTAGGAAGAACGAGTAAAGTCACCGTTTACCCTCATCAAACTGAGTCCAGCTTGCTTGTTCAATAAACTGGTTGCATTGGTTTACTTCTCCAATTCTGAGAGAGTGAAATGCAGACACAATTTGCATATCCCTTTTTTCTTTTAAAAAATTATGATAACAAGCAGGGCACAGTGGCTCAAGCCTGTAATTCCAGCACTTTGGGAGGCTGACGCAGGTGGATTGCTTCAGGTCAGGAGTTTGAGGCCAGCCTGGGCAACATGGCAAGACCTGATCTCTTTAAAAAATTTTAAAAATTAGCTGGGTATGATGGCACACGCCTTTAATATCAGCTACTCACAGGCTAAGGAAGGAGGATCCCTTGAACCCAGGAGTTGGAGGATGCAATGAACTATGATCATGCCACTACACTTCAGCCTGGGTGACAGATGGAAATACAGTCTCTAAAAACATAATGAAATAAAATAAAATAAAAAATAAAAAGTTGTGATAAAATATACACAGAATAAAATTTTCCTTTTTCCTCCTTTCTTAGCCTATAAGTAGCTGGGACTACATGCATGTAACCATTATGCTCAGCTAATTTTTTATTTTTATTTTTGTACCTTAATTTTTTTTTTGAGTTGGAGTCACTCTGTTGTCCAGACTGGAGTGCAGTGGCCGCTCCCGGCCACCGCAGCCTCGACCTGCTGGGCTCCGGCGATCCTTCCACCTCAGCCTTCCAAGTAGCCAGAATTACAGGCATGCGCTACCATGCCTGGCTGATTTTTTGATTTATTGTAGAGATGAGGTCTCGCTGCTCTGGCGGGTCTCGAACCCGCGGGCTCAGGCAATTCACTTACCTCAGCCTCCCAAAGGCGCGGGATTACAGGCTGAGCCACCGAACCCAGCCCGTACTTTAATTTTTAAGGTACAATTCAGTGATATTAAGTACGTTTACAGTTTTGTACAGCCAATACTACTATTCAATTCCAGAATTTTTCATCATTCCAAACAGAAACTCTGTGCCCGTTAAATATTAACTCCTTATTCTTCCTTCCCTTCAGCCTCTGGTAACCACCATTCCACTTTCTATCTTTATTAATTTGCCTATTATGGGTACTTTGTATAATTGGAATCATTAAATATTTGTCCTTTTGTTTGGCTTATTTCGCTTATCATGTTTTCCAGGTTCATCCATGCTGCAGCATATACAAGGAGTTCATTTCTTTCTATATCCAGATAATATTTCATTTATGTATACACCACATTTTGTTTTTCGTTCATCTGTTGATGGGCATTAGTTTTCACCTTTTGGCTATTGTGAATAATGCTACTATGAGCATGGGTGTACAATTATATGTTTGAGTCCTTGCTTTGAATTCTTCTGGGTATATACCCTGGAGTGAAATTGATAGGTTATATGGTAATTATATGTTTAGTTTTTTTGTGGAACTACTAAACTGTTTTCTACAGGGGTTACACCATTCTGCATTCCTTCCAGCAGTACACCAGAGTTCTAATTTCTCCACATCCTTGCCAAAACTTATTTTCTGTGCTTTTTGTTTTGTTTTGTTTTTTGACAATAGTCATTATAGTGGGTATGAAGTAGTATTTCATTATGATTTTGGTTTGCATTTCCCTAATGCCTAGTGGTGTTGAGCACTTTTTCATGAGCATTTTCACCATTTGTATATTTTTAGAAAAATGTCTAGTCAGGTCTTTTGACCGTTTTTTAAATTGGGCTGTGTGGAGTTTTAAAATTGTTGTTGTTGAGTTGTACTAATCAGGATATTAGTCTCTTATCAGACAGATTATTTGGAAATATTTTTCCCATTCTGTGGGTTATCTTTTTACTCTCTTGATAGTACCCTCTGATGTACAATATTTTTAAATTTTGATGAAGTCAAAATTATCTAATTTATTTTCTATTGCCTGTGCTTTTGATGTCATATTCAAAAAGTTTTCTTCTAAGAGTTTTAGAATTTTAGCTTTTACATTTAGTACTTTAATTCATTTTGAGTTAATTTTTATATAGAATGTAATGTAAGGCTCCAACTTCATTGTGAATATGTTTTCCCAGCACCATTTGTTGAAAAGACTGTCCTGGCCAGGTGCGCTGGCTCACATCTGTAATTCTAGCACTTTGGGAAGCCAAGGCTGGAAGATCACTTCAGTCCAGGAGTTTGAGACCAGCCTAGGCAACATAGCGAGACATCATCTCTATAAAAAATCAAAAAAGTACCCAGGCATGGTGGTACACCCGTAGTCCTAGCTACTCAGGAGGCTGAAGCGGAAGGATCTCATGAGTCCAGAAGACTGAGGCTGCGGTTAGCCATGATCATACCATTGCACTCCAGCCTGGATGACAGTGAGACACCCTAACGCAAAAGATGGTCCTTTCTCCATTGAATGGTCTTTGCGTCCTTGTTGAAAATCAATTGACCAACTATATGAGAGTTTATATCTTGGCCCTCTATTCCATTCCATTGGTCAGTATGTTTGTCCTTATGCTAGTGCTGCACTTGCTTTTTAAGTTGTAGTTATTTTGCTATTATCCTGTTACTATTAATACCTAATTATGAAATGGAAAATAAAGATATTGGTGACAAAGGAAATTATATATGTGATATCATTGTCTCTTTCTGTCAAGTTTAATAAATATTCTGAACATTTCATAGTATTATAAAAATAGCTGCATCAAAATTCTTAAACATTTAAGAATTCTCTTCTCCTTTGTATTCACTGCTATTATTCCTCTTGCATAGGCATTGCCTGGACTTTACTCTGATAGAGTCAAAGTCAAAGTCCTTTTAGTAAAATGGTGAAGGCCCTGCATAATCTACCTATTCACTGCTCACACGCCTCTCTGTTCTCATTTCCTGATTCTCATTTTCACTTCCTTGTTGTTACTCCAACATGCCAAGCACAGTTCCACTAATCCATAACCACCCTGTCTAAATAACCACTCCCCTCTCTCTCCCATACCTTTCTCTGTCTTATATTTCTTGGTGGTACTTGTCAGCAGCTGACTCTACATATGTACTTATTTAATTTTTGTGTGTTTTCTCAGTATCACTAGAATGTAAGCTTTATGAGGGCAGGAATTCAGCACTGAGGAAAAAATGAATTCTTTAGAAAAAATATAGTAAGTCCTTTACTCATCATTTATCTAACATTTACTGAGAACTTCTTGTAGACTAGGCACTAGGCTGAAAACAGTGAACATTAAGCATACAGAACTTATTGAATGGTTGTGTGAGTCTCAAATTTTTTTTAAATCTTGTAAAGGGTAGATGGGAAAGGTAGCCTCCAGACAGCAAGTTCAGATCAGAATCCTTAAAGGAATATTGAAGTTTTGAAGGCAGAGTACACTGCCCCTCAGCGATTGCTCAATGCGTCAGTCACCAACGCCCAGGACAGCCTGCAGGTGTAGCTCAGCACTGTTGTCCTCCTGTGGGGTTTGTTAGGGACTGTGTAGGACAAAAGCAGAATAAGCCCTTGCAGAGTGTGATGACGTTCACAACCTATATTTGAATTGTACTATATTTTCACCGCTGTCGGGGGGAAAGGCCCAGTGGAAAATGTGTGCTTTTCTAAATATAGCACCTACCTCTCCATACCTGCTAGATTTAGGTTGAATCTTTGGGGGCACAGCCTAGGCAATCACTGCCAGTGAAGGACTTCAGTAGGTCTCAGTAATAGGATAGATCTACTGCCGCTTTAGAGCAGGACAGGAATATATTAGCAGGCCTTAGAGACTAGCCTGAGGCTTAACCTCAGCCCCACTCAAATGCTATTTCCCTCCTTATCCCAAACTCACTGAAGGTGGCAGGCTCCTTTCTAAGCCCTTGGCCATGCCCCGGGCTGACAGGTAGTCAGCAGGGCACCAATTTGCCGTTTTTCTGCCTCCGTTTTCCTGTTTCTAAGACCACCCCAAGCTGTTCAATGTTTACTGTCTTGTTTTTTTCTTACGTTAAGTGTATGAGGCAGGATGGGCTGTGCAGGCTGGTGGTGGGTTATTACAGCTTCCTTGGAGGGTCGAAGCCTAGGGTGGGAGTCTCTCATCCCACCCTCTGGCCAGCACATGGTAGGCATCGTGGCACATACATATTTCTGAGTGAATAAATGCAAACGGGAGTGGGTGAACGGACGACTGGACACAATGATTTCAAGCTGAGCGAGGGGAGATGGCGTGTGAGGAGCCACCGCAGCTGATTTGCCTCCCGGCGCCGGGGTCCGCCAGGATCTCCCCCCCGCGCGTCCACGCCGGGCAGCGAGGAGGTCGGGCCAGGCAGCCCCGAGGACGCGCCGGCGGGGGGCGGGGTCACGAGGGCGCGCCGGAAGGCGGGAGGAGCGGCGGGGACGCGCCGCTGGGGGGAGGGGGAC